GCTGAACTCCTCCTCCTGGGCCTGCGGAAGCCAAAGGGGACTGTGACAGATCTGAGAGCCACACGCTTGCCCCGCTGCTCCCCAGCTGTCCCCGCCACGCAGGGCCCCGAGGAACGGCCTCCACAGCGTTACTGGGCCTGCGGGGCCTCAGCGCGCTCGCAGCTCCTCCTGTTCATCGCCCAGGCTTTTCCTTAGCAGCTGCACCCGCTCTTTCGACCCTAACGTGGACGCTGTGAGCTGTTCGCTCAGACTGGCTTCTGGGCAGTCAGTCGCACACCCACTGATTACAGGTGCCCTCGGTTAGCAGCTTCTCCAGGCGCCTTTCCGCTCAGCTCCTCAAAGCCGGTGCCTCTGGCCAGGGCGTGCTCCACTTTCTTTCTGTTCAGCAGGGAATGCATCGCTATCCTGAGCCTGGCCTTTCTCCACAGCAACCCCATCTTCTGGGGATCCAGGCTTCTGCGTAGTAGGCCCAGGATCTCCAACGAGAGGAAAGTAGCTTTGCCCAAGGGTCTCTGAAATCTCCCTGAACAGCTCTCCCATGGACGCCCCACCTTTCCGCAGAATGGCTGTCACCAGTTCCGCAGGGAAAGCCCACATGGGGATGTCAGTTTTCACATCCTCAGCCAAGTCCAGGGTTTCCTGCAACCCTCTGGAGAACTGGGCAGCGGAGAAGATGAAGGCCAAGGAGGGCAAGGCCAGCTCCTGTACACACTGCACTGCCTCCCCCATCGCGGAGATGGAGATACTCCTGGGCAATGGCCTTGGATTTCCTCTCCAGCTCCTCCTCAGAGAGTGCGGCCTTGGGCTGGGGAAAGGCGGTGGCTGCCCAGCTCAGAGCATCGCAGCCACAGTCGTCTGTGAGGCTGGCGAGGTCCTTTTCCACTGAGCTCTTGGACTTGGCGGCTGGTTCTGTGCAAGACAGTGTGTTCCCGTGGCCACCACCCTGCTCACTAGTTGGTCTTCCTGTCCCTTGCTTTCTCGTCTAGTTCCGGCATCTGTACCACCTATCCGTGATCTGAGCTCTCTGTGGGTATTGCTTGTCTCCAGTGTGCCTCCATCTCAGCCTCCTTGTGGATCTGTCAGTGGCCTCGAGGCCCTGATCCTTGCAGTGTGGTTCCCAGTTGCTTTGTGGAAACAGGAAGCGGGTCACAGTTACATCAGGGAGCAACAGAGGAGCGGGTGTGGGCAACAGGGAGCAACAGAATGACCGTGAGAGGGGACACAGAATTAAAACAGTTTTTAAAGGACACAGAAGGACGTGAGAATAAAATGAAAATTCAGTGTCATAGTAGTCTGGTGCCCGAGACATGGAGTGGATTGATTTTAGTGCAGCGTTGCTTTTGTTGGTCCCAGAATTCGCTATTGAAGGAATTTAGAGGCGGTGATCTGCTTAGAAAGAAAAATCTGGGACTTGCCCCACAGCTGGTTACACAGCAAATACACGGTTTAAGCGGATGCATGTTTATTTGGACACGTATTTCAAAGGGGATATTTAAGGGGATATTTCTGTTGCCCTCTCCCAGCCACCACTGGCTCCTGCCATGGATTGTCACAGGAACCCGCATTCCTAGCCCAGAAGTCTTTCCATTCCTTCTCAAAGTCCTATACAAATAATAATAAATCTCCTTTCATAACTCACATGTGCTCTAAATAGCCACTGTACTATGTGAACGGTTTGCTCTCAACTCAAGTCTTCCCATCCCTAAATCAAAACTAATTAGCTTTGTTTTTCAAATTGCTGACACCGGAGGGTCTTCACTCTAACAAACCTGTGTGTGATTAGTGATAAAATGGCTGGTGCTGAGCTCAGGCAAATATTTATAGAGTAATCATATTGGATAGGGTTGAATAACCTCTCGGATTAAGTGAGAGCTTCTGCCAAGCCATGCTGCAAAATTGTGCTAATTTAATGGTACAGTCCATTGTTCCGTCTGCTGGTACAATCTCTACCGACACTGATACAAATATAATCAGGGATATTAGGGCACAGTACGGCGCCTTTATGGGCACCCCTGGCAGTAATGCACCAGAAGAATCCAAATATCGCTTTGTAAATATAAATTATGTGATAGGTAAATGGAAGCTCCTACAGGGGGAAAATCAAATATATACCACACAGGGATGTGTCTAAAGTAAGTAGTCACTGGATAAATAGTTCTTAGGTTATTAGTATATTAGATAGGAGAGGAACAATTTTGCTTTTATTTACTTTCAGAAAGAGTAAACAGATTTTAATTAGACAAGTTAGTTTTAGTGTTAAGGGAGGATTTCTTCTCTATCAAGCTCTTTCGATATTAACTCTAGCTTCTCAGAAAGATACACCAAGTAAATCTGAAAATATGCAGTTGATTCTTTTCTTGTTTTCTTTTGTTGTTGACATGCTGGGGACTGGACCCAAGATCTTGTGCATGCCAGGCAATCACTGTACCACGGAGGTATTCTCCCAGCCTCTGGTTATGCTTAATACTAAGTTTTTAACCTGTAATCTAAAAGGAAACAGAATTGGGAAAGAGACAAATGTAGCAGCTTTTACCAATGATGCAGTTCAGCAATGACCAAATGCCTCACACTTTCTCAGCCGCAGTGTAAGGATCTATAAAAGCAAAATATGTGATACTGATATGCAGATTACTTTAAACTGGGTCATTTCCTTACATGCATTTGGTACTTGTATTGTTATGTATTGTTTAATTTAATAATGATGATACATTTGGTAATTTATAGAGACCTTGAACTTTTTATTTGCGTTGATTCCAATTGCACCATTTTTTAATGCATCTTAGCTGTCTTTCTTAGACACTCCAACTGGTTAGCTATATTTAGATGTGAGGAGGAGGCAGAGTAATTCTTAAAGAGCTCTATGTTTCTTACAACTGACTTGACTGACAGACCTTAAGTGCTATTTCTCTCAAAGCAAATATGACTCACAGCCCTTAGGTAGAGTGTGTGCACAAGCTAGAAATATTGATCTGTCCACCTCCTAGAAACATTAAAATACAATGGAAGAAAGAATTTTTAACTTAATTCTGAGTAATGCAATTGTGAAAG